TCAATTATCAGTTCTACACCAGGAGACCGAGACGCGTCAAACGATACCCCACGGTTCGAATCGTGCATGAAGTGCAGGGAATTGGTTATCCGTGAATGACGCATCCGCACACACAACTCACGTATACTCACATTTACTCAAATACTGTACAGAAATTATTTTTTTCTCAAAATAAATTTGAAAATCCGAGAAATAAAATGTCTATTTTTTTTTAAATTTGTCTCAACATTGGGGGGGGGGGAGTCGTGGAATCAGACAAAAAATCAGCGATTTCAATTATTAAAAATAGCACAGAGGTGAGATTCTGGGGGGGAGTCGCCCCCCCCTGAATCTCACCTCTGTGCTATTTTTAATAATTGAAATCGCTGATTTTTTGTCTGATTCCTGGACTGCAAAAGAATTTTCTTCTGAATTGATTTCTCAAATAAACATCAAGACACCTGTGTATCCTGTGTATTACACGTGCACGTTTAATTGAGCCCGGAATACCTACTCCCACTCCTTTTCCAACAGTAGTTGAATTAAGAATAAATGATATCAATGAGCGTTATAGACAAAATCTAATAAACATAAATATTCGCTTTACTTGAATAGAAACAATTTTGCATTGAATACGAACTACAAATTTGATACAAAATTCCTTTTGCCAAAGTAACCTCTCTTATCTCTAAACTAGCGAAGCGAGGGCTCAATAAAACGTACCCGAATAATACCTGTCTGCCTGAACCGTCTACTACCTACCATCTACTTGAACTTTAATAATCAGTCTTGCGAATTCTGCTTGATATACGATTAACGGTGTTTGAAACTTAATTAATTCATTTTATATGTTCTGCCGAATCTGAGTGTTCGTGCATCAATTAAGTTATATTCAACTTTGAAGCAAATCCTTTTCTGTTCCAAAATTTTGTTTAACTGCTAAAAATCAAGCATATCCAACAAAACAAATTCTGTAGTTGGACATGAACACAACCACGAGTAAGTCTTTAACCGTTTGAACCGGCTGAAACGAAAGGTTGCAGTTTTTCCTGAATGTTTAACTTTTGTACCAGATATTTAGAGCTTCAATAGGGCATCATCAACTTTCATATCTTAGTCTTTCCAATGTGAACATGGCTTTTCTATTACAATAAACTATATCATGCACATAATTCATATTTGAAACACTCCAGCACTGTTAATGAAGCGCGATGCGAAATAATTTCATACTGGAAGAAGAATCGAATTTCTTTGGCCTCTGCTTCACCAACACCGTAGCAGCGACGTGGCATCCATCGACGTGGAGACCGCCGAGGCAAATCGCACTGGCGTTTGAGACATATTAAAAGATGGCATATTTTACTTTAAGAGCCGCAAGAGATTAAACTGATAAATGGGTTGCGAGAAATGTGCGACCCGAAATGTGGAAAATCGAGCAAGGGACAGTTATCGAGCCCCCACATACATGAAAGAGTTTTCTCGCTCGCCTCTGTGGAGGTGCAGACGAAAGAGTTCCTCGCTGGAGTCTGTCAGTGAACGAGTTTTCTCGGACACATTTCTACTCCTTCGCTTTTTATATGACATTTAGGCATTCGCTAACGCAGGAAAACACTAAGCAGAGCGTAGAACTGCGTGAGTTCATAGCATTTAATATTAAAAGATGTGATTAAAAAACAGTTTTTCTGATTTTCTCTTTAAACGGAAATGAACAAGAAAAAAACTTGTGTGAAAGGTATTCCTATTTGCATGAAACCCGTTCATAAGCAATATAGAAATAAAGATATGAAGCAAGACACTTGAAGGGGTAGTTTAATAGAATTTAATTAATTCTTCATTTTTATTCATTTGAATTTATTATTTATAAACGAATTTATTAATCGTGGATTATATTATGAATTATTTGATTATTCCCCATTTATTCACAATTCAACCAACAAATATAGTGCAACAGAAGGATTGAGATTACGGAGCTCAAGAAAATTTGTATATTTTGTTCTTCTCCTCTACACGTCAACAAGTTCCTGTTTTACAAGTCATTTCGAGACATCGAATAACCTAATTCTAGTATGTGGACGCAGCCTAACCGGCCTCTTTCCTCATTTCTTGCAATTAATCTCTGTTGCAGGCGCCTTCATGAATTTTAATTGTCCAATCGCGTGGGTACCATTCCAAAATACTCTTGCGTTCCTATTAAAACCAAAACCAACATACTTGCAGTACGTGATGCAGAAATTAATTAAACAGATACCTACTTCCTCTGTATAGCCGTCCCTATGAAACTACAATAGAAATGTAACTCATTGGTACAAAACAGAGGTCTGAAAATAAATCATTCGAATTATAAAGAAGGTTTTTGTAATTTTAGGCACGCTTTGAAAAAATTATTTACAACAAACATTATACTGTTTCAATGAGATTTCTGGAATTTCTTAAGCAAGCAGGTCTACCAAATAGAAGGCATTACAAATAATTACTATTTAAATTTACTACGTAATATAAGTAATAATAATTACTAGGTAAATTTATTCAGGAAATTACATATGCTCGGACTAACTTGGATTAATTCTTTGGGATGTAATATGACAAATGTTTAAGATAAACCGAGGAAAAATCACGAGTAAATATTGTATCCTTCACGTCCTCCCCCTGGCGAATTCTTCAGTGTTCAATCTCCGGTTTTCATATTCTATGTATTTGTTAATGAGCCACTATTTGCCATATCTACTCCCTACTATCCGTCCACTCCGCCAGTCTGTCCATCATGTCCATTCATCTATAGCACAAAGTAGCAAAACACGTATACAGCGACAAGTCCTAGGAATGCGAATTTTTGTAATGTGTAAAATAATAGTGATTTTTGCAAAGTGCAGAAATGCGATCACCATATTTTCGAAAGCAAGTTCTATTTGGTTTTGTATTAATTCTATTGCCTTGTTGTCTCAATGGTGTTCTAAATGTTCCCGCAAATAACTGCAGAGCGCTCTACTAACGTGCGATGGTGGCTTAAGCCCGCCAAGTCTGAATTCCTGAGAGCTGAGCAAGAAAATTAGCCAGTCGCGAATCCACGGGGAGGGAAATAAGGGAAATTTCCCCTCCCAAAATTTTCCAGTAACTATTAATTTTAACTTGTCATGAAACTTTGAAGCAAAAATATTTTCGTACAAACATTAAAACAAATAAAATCGTTTCACAATGTGAGCTGAGTTTAGCCTACGTCATTCTACATAATCTGTAAGATGACACAATTGATCAACACATTTTCAATAAAAAAATTCCCCTCCAAAAAGTTGTCTCTGGATCTGTTCCTTAATAAGCTAGTGTTAAAAAATTGTTATAAATTAAATTAAACAAATTTGTTAATCATTAATAAACCAATCGTTAATAATTTTGTGTAATAGCAAAATTAATGAAAAAAGGCCAAAACAACTTCCAGGAAGCAATGTTTTCACGCTCTTTGAAAATTCCTATTTCCATATCCAATTTTTAAAAACAGAAAACCAGCAAATGCAAACAAACTATAATTCTTTGCGTGTGTGGCGTTTGAGTAATCCAGGTTCAATTATCAAAGCCCATGATTAATACAAACGAAAACACCTGATGAAGTTTAGCAATAGAGAAAAGTACCCAAACTCGGTTCCTAATGCGAGCTCCTTGATTTACAGTTCTTTAGAGAGCTGTTGCGTATTGGAAACGTAGGTATTAAAATAGTGGTTCACAACCCAATCAAGCGGAAGTGTCATCTTCACTTGTTGCTGGACAGTCGGCCATTAGTGCGAACAGTAGAAAACAACGTTTTTCAAATGCTCATTCAGTTGCTTGATTTCGCTTCTTCATGAGTCTTTTAACCATTACGTTAGTTTCACGGGGACATTACAAGATAGGTAATGTTATTCATTTCACTTGCCTTGTAAAAATGTTATTGACATAGCCCCACAAAGTTTTCTAACGCGAACCCCCAAGTTTTCGTCTTTTAAAATAAAAACAATTAAGGTATTTGACACTCTTAACACCTTAGGAGTTTAATAAAATGCAAGAGTCAACTCTGAAGCCTATCATTTCGAGAGAGCAGGAAGAAGAAAGAGGTCAAGAGAAAATTTCAGAATTTAATCCCAGAAAAGTCAAAGACAAATTGACCAGAATAATCCATTAACATCCAGAGCGTCTCAGAATGCTGTTTTGCCAACTGAAATCGCTCAAGTCACCTTGACACCCTTCGTAAGAAAGATTCCTTCGAGCTTAGCTCATCCGAGGAGGAAGAAACACCACACGGAAAGACTTTTCAGACAAGTCCATTTGAAATCAAACCCATACCTAAAATTAATAAGAGGACCTCTACAAGAGGGCATAAAGCAAATTGTCTGAAATATTGTGACATCTCCTTACAAATCCGAATTGGAGCAGGCTAAAGAATGTAGGGAGTGTAAAGACTCAGAAAGGATAAATGGCAAACTGCAGAATTAAAATTAACCTGTGGCCAAGGTCATGGATCAAAGTCTCTCACAAACCTTTCCCGAAACAAGAGAGATTAAAGAAAAAGTCAAGCAATAAGCAGAAGGGAGATTCCTCCAGTGAGAAATCGAACGACATATCCTCTGGCCCTTCCGAACTGGAAGTTCTAGCAGTGGCGGATCTAGACGATCATTTTGGAAGGGCAATCGTAGATTTTTGTTAAATAATAAACATATATTGTACATTATTTATGTACTGTATATATACTATACAATATTATTGTTTTAATACTTCGAACATAAATGAATATTTAAATAAATTTTTCCAAATAAAGGAAAGTAAACGAAATTTCTAGGCCTTTTTTTGGTGTGGGTGGGGGGGGGGGGCATGGCTCCTCATGGATCTGCCAGTGAGTTCTTACCTCTCACCTGAAGAAGATGCAGAGTACATGTTTTGCAATGTAAAATTTTCAGAGGACTGTAGAACTGTGGGTGATGAGTCTAATGCGTTCACTCTGGATTCATGTTCATAGAATGTGCAGGGAAGGAAAAATGTGCTAATATGACTTGTTGCACTTGAATATATACTCTTTGTACTATTCTCCTGTATACAATGTTAAAGTTGTATTTTTGTAAAATTACACTCAGTTCAATCTATTTGCAGTTGTCTCATTTATTTATACCCATTTCATAAAATATGTGCAGGGGGTCTCTCGTTAGGAAAACTTTTTTAAAAATCCACAAATTGTAATGTTTACAAAACAATTATTTTATTCTTGAACTACTTGGCCAAACTTTTTAAGTACAATCCAAGATTTGTGTAACTAAGGTTTGCATTGCAAATATTTTGATTTAATTGTGCAGAAAATTGGATTTAAAAATATTCTAAAACAAAATGAAGCCTGGGTTTGGGTACTTTCTTCTATTTATAAAATGTATTGTTACATATTTTAAAACTTCCTAACTTCATACACTGCAATTTACATTCCCTAAACAATAAACATTTAACAGCTTGCTTACAATATACATTTATGTATTATACAATATAAATAGAACTAAAAGTCCAATTTTCTGATATTAAATAACCATTGCAAGGAGTCTCACTGGTTCTGAGTAATAATTGTAGCTCCCATCAACTTTTGTTTTAGTTCTGTCTTGTTATATGAAAGGAAAAAATACAGATTTTTTAGACTTTTATAGAGGGAACTGTGGAAATCTAATAACTACAGAAAGTACCACACTCAGGATAGTGTGAGACTTTCACTCACTAAAACCACTTAATACTTTTCATTGAATTGAAATTCAGCCCTGAAACACTGTATTTAAAGAGAAAAACACCTTAGACGATGTTCCAGATTGACCACATTATACCAGGCTGCACATTAATAAATAACATTTTTATTAACAGAACATTTAAAACAAATTACCTACATCAGGCTGGACATTACATCAAAAATCTGCCAAAACGTAGCTCTTCTAATACACCAAATATCTTTAACCCATCTGAATTGACAAAATTACAACAGGTTACACATTTACTTCAAGAAATCTACAAAAACTCAAGTTGCTTCATTTTACTAAATAATACCTATCATTGTCATAAATGTTTTCAATTATGCAACAACATGACTTCTGTAATAAATCATATCTTTAACATTTGTTTTAATTCGCCACAAAGACTTCAGGTTTCTTATTACCTCATCACAGCTGTTTTCAATTTCTTATCAAATACACCATGTCATAACACCCTGTTCTGATTGGCCATTCATTTAGGCATACCTCATTGCAAATGTTTTTAATTGTGCATCAAAGAGGTTTCTGCAGCACACCATTCTTCCTTTTTAATTGACCACAAGACTTCAAGCTTTTTATTACCTCTTCACTCATTTGCTGAAGATCATTCTTCTCTCATGAAAATGAGAACTGCATAATCTTAATGACTGCTTCGTCAAGATGCCTTTGAATTATATCCTATCTCTTATTTCCACCTTTAATCTCATGAGATTCTATCTCAACCAGAATATTACCCATAGTTAAAATCTGGAAAAGTCAACTATCTCAGTTAAAATATGATTACAAAACCAAAGCGTTTTTTGTCTTTTAAAAAAATTGCATTTTTTGAATCCAGATTCAAAAAAGGAATCCTTCTGTCTGACCTACCATCTTTAAACTGATTCTCTAATTTCTCATGGTAGAAATCCTGTGAATTCATGAAGCCTATATCTAATAATACTCACTGCCTGGAGCACAAATATATTAGAGTATACTACAAAAATAAAGTTAAATATTAACAAAATTCTTACATATTTATGCTATAGTGATGGTTCATCTGTGGTAGCTCCATGATAGTCATCCATGGTTAAGATACTTAGTTGGTGTCAGTGGCAATCTGTGGTGCTCATCAGGCTCATGGAAGAATTCCGAGAATTCCCATGAATCCACGGGCCCTACATCTATGACACTCTCTTTCATGGAACAGAGCAGAACAGAGAGTGCAGCAGTAGCGTGCAGATTGGTTAGTGCAGGCCACTCATCAGACACGGGTTGTGTTCTGGTGCAGAACAAGCCGTTGCAGACCATAGGAGGCAGATCAGCGACAGTTAGGGAGCTGGAAGCAGAGCTGCGGGCCGTAGTAGACTGCTAGTAGGCGCAATTCATGTAACGTAATGGCGGGCAAGGTTGTTACGAGAACATGGTGTTTGTATCGGTGGACACGTAGTACGCAAGTGACCAGTTTTTCCTTCTTCAATACTTTTTCACAATGTTCGAAAAAAGAAATTGGACAACCTTTATTTTTATGCCCTGCTTTCACCCCAGTGACCTTGTTCTCACAAAATGCAGCGCCGAAACAACCTGACGAAAAAAATAAACGCCTTAAAAGCGGAACGTACACTAGAATAACGTTAATTGAGTCTGACGGAAATGTAACCATTACTTCATTGGAAGAAGCAGAAAAAGTGGCAAAAAGACGAGATATGAAACTTGTAAAAATTAACGACAAGCAAGCTGCCAACCAAAGATCTACGTATAAAATGATGACATCCACGCAGTATTTTCATGAAGAATTGAAGTCCAGAAAGACAAGGACAGAAAAAAAGAAAACTGAAATGAAAGGAGAAAAACTTTTATCAATGTCAGACAAAATTGACAAACACGACCTCGAAGCAAAATTGAAAATGGTGAATAAATGGTTGCATAAGAAGTACGAAGTCCGGGTTATTATTAATGAAAGTGAAGAATCGTTATCTGTGAGTTTAATGTTTTAATTGTGGGTAACATTATGAATAGGAAAAGGAGCTCTGATATTTTATTCTGGATATGTGTGAAAATTAATTAAGTTTTAGATAATTTTTTCTTCAGCTTTTCACTACTTACCAATTAGATTTCAAATTAATCACAAGGAGGGCCTGAATGAATAGTGTAAGTTTTTAAAAACTTGAAAGTAATGAGACTGAGAAACACTAGTGAGGAAAGAAAAATATATTTGAACATATCCTTGTAAATGAAATGAAATATCTAACATTCTTGCACAGTACAATTTACACAACTTTTTTCTGTTAAACCCCTTTCCCATTTAGTTCATAACAGTGTTTTTTCATGAAATTGTAGACACTAATTTCTATTCCTAATCTACCCTAGATGTGATTTTACATTCTTGATCCTGTGTACTATCAGAAGCACTATAAATGAGATGTTTTGTCATAACCAAATTGCAGTGGAACTTTGATATCTCAAATTTGGTAGGGAAAAGAAATATTTGGCTTTGCAGAATACTGTGATATAACAAGAGTATTTCCCAACAATTGCATAAAGGAGAAGAAAGAAAATACCCTAAGAAAGTCTAGTTATTGATTTTTTGAGTCCTCAAGGTTCCCTGTATTATTGTGTTAAATAATCCTTTTTTATTTTAAATCTGTGACATTTTCTAAAATTCATTTTCTGCCTTTGTTTCAGACATCTGTATTTAAGTTTATTGAAACTTCAGTAAAAGAAATAGGAAAGATTGTTCAGAAGCGACAGAAGGAAAAAGAAATAAAATTTTCAATATTGCCTATCACCCCCAAAGGAACTAAATCAGAAGAGACTACTATTAGTGATTCAAGATATTAATTTCTTCATCTAGAAGGGAAAGCTGTGTGGAAAGGTCTTATACATTTTTTTTCATTCCCCCAAAAGTATCTGTGACCTATGAAAAAAATAAATATTTGTTAAAGCCGCTTTATTTATTTATTTATTATTATTATTATTATTATTATTATTATTATTATTATTATTATTATTTTGTGACATAATATTTACAACTGTTGCACTGACATTGAATTATCAGTGTTACTATGGAAAATAATACTCAATTATTTTATGAACTTTTGGAACTATTCACGAACATTGTGGAAAAATAATAATCCATGGTGCAAAGATCCATGGTCAATAAAACTAATGTACCTTCCAGAGTATAAATTGTAGAAACTTAATAGATTTGAAACTAAGACTGAATTGAAATGTTGTAGAGTAAAATATTATTTCTGATTGCTGTAGTGATTCACACATGTTTACTGTGGCTAAGGAAGTTCAAATTATTGGGTGTGAATGCTAAAAACAATTGGCCATGCTCAGATGGTAATTTAAGCAACCTTGGGATAATTTCTTTTAATATATGAGGGAGAAAAATAATACCTTTAACAAGTAGTGTTTGTTCATGTTACATTCAGAATGGTACATTTTCCAGAAAACTTCAACCATGCCCATAATGCAAAAGAAGAGAGAATGGGGGCTTGAATACTGATATCAGAATATTTTCATGACATAATATTTACATCAACTGCAATTGAAACTTGTTTTGTTCATGAACATAGAGGAAGATATTGTCAGTAGTGCAAAGAGTTGATAAAACTAACAGAACTTTGAAAGTGTAAGCTATGGAAACTTAGTAGACTTGAGAATAAGACTGAACAGTTATCCAGGGTATGATGATTGTTATAGAGACTAGCATATAATTACCACAGCCAAGGGAGTTCAGATGATTGCACCTATGTGAAATCTAAATAAAATAATTATAATAAAAACAACAACATCCTTGTCTAAGTCCAATAATTTGGGGGAATGCTGTTGTGAATCTTCCATCTGTGTTTTAGTTTTTGATTTCTTGTACAGACTCTTGTTGGCTTCTATTAAGTGTATATCAATCTTGCTCCAGAATTTCTCATAGTCTGTTTCTATTCACAGTCACATACTTTTTCATGGTCTACAAAGAGCAAAAACCGGCAAGTTTTGTTCACATCTTTTATCTATTTGATCTAGTGAAACATCAATCTTACTGAAAGTCACATTCTTCTTCATCCATTAAGAGGGGCTTCACTGTGTTTTAGTACGACTTGAAAATAATTGTGTACACCTTGCAGGCCACAGTTTGTACTGTGAACTGTATATAGTTTGCACGTTTGTTTTGTGCTCCCTTTTTGTAAATCATTACTATTCCAGTTTGCTATTGAAAACTATAAATATTTGCACATGACAATGAAACTAGAACATTGAATGATTTATTCATTATTTATGTTAAGCAAAACGTGGGAAGTTCATATATATTGTCCACAGTACTTTGTGTATTTTCCCTAAATTCTAAAAATTGAACCCTAAATTCTGAAAAGGCTGGAAATAAAAGAAGTATCTTAGATTATTGTTTTGTCTTCCAGAAGATACAATAATTGCATTTTAAAAAAAATATATGTTTCATGTTCTAGGTACATGAATAATTAGAAGTACTATGTTTCCTATCAGAGCTGCTAAAATTCTCCTCCACACATCGGCTGACTTGGGCCTAGCTATTTACCTTGTGTTATAAATCTGTACCATTCAAACTTGTACGTAGGACCTCCCTTTGGGTTCATTGCAGAGTCAGTGGCTCTGAGCTTATCACTGCCAGTGAGATGTGTTGGCTTTGTAATTATTTAATTGTAAGGTATTACAAACCACAGGAAAACATAATCTTGCCTATGAAAAGTAAAAGAAACCCTGGATTCACTTGGGCCTCATATAAGCAGCCTATGGATCTGCAGATAAGTTTTTCAAGCATTTCCTCTTGCTTTTCTGAGCTTTTCATTTCCTGTTTCAGTTAAGAGCTGTCAGTATTTAGATGAATGTCATGAGTATATTGTGTGCGCTACTGGTAACTATATGACTAAATGAACATATTTTGTATGTACTACTGGTAAAAATGTAAATCAATAAATGGTATTGAAATATGAATTTTATAATTGTGATCATTGAATTGTTTAGTATATAAATGGTATAAATTAAAAAATTAATAAAAAGATGTTTTGTAAATTAGTTTATTAATTATTTGTTACAATTTTTACAAAATTTATTGTTCCAAAAAGAGCTTTAATGCAATCTAGATAGCACATGTACTGTTTGACAAACGCTTTTTAAAATGCTCTAAGGAGTTCACAATACAATGTGTGTTCTTAATAAAACAGCACAGGTGCCTCAGGATCTTGATATGCCAGTCACTGTACTTTATGTTCCCTTTGTATGCATTTTGATATGTACATACAGAAAATTCATACAATTTATGCACTTCTGAGTTATATCTTTTGGGATGATGCGAGTCTCATCTATATTACCATTTTTATGGTCTTCCTATCAACTGGCCTGACATTCTTTTCTCATTTAGAAACAAATAATATTCCAGAAAAATAGATACTTGAGAATCCTTTGTCATCATGATATGCTTATATCATATGTTGATTACATGTGTTTGAGTACTAATGAATTGTTTTACAATGCCAATGTTAAGAGATAGATTATAAAACAGTTTTCAATATTCATTCTAAAAAGGTGTTTAATTTAATCATTCATATTCTTCATTGCCCATAGTTTCTTTTACCAAGTGTTGGAGCGTAATTATAACACCACACACCTGATTGTGATAAAAATCACGAGAACAGAATAATTTGTTTTAAAATCAAAATAGTGATTATCTTTATATGAACTACTTTACATCTGTGTGGTTACTTTAAACTGTGATTTTCAATGTCTCTGTTGATTCTACTGTGAGAACCATATCAGTCTGTAGGATGATTGGATGCACAAGGTATAGGAGCACAGTATATGTATTCAATACGTCGATCACAAGGCATTCCACCAGAGGTGGGATGTACAAGAATATCTCGAGTTCTGAGTCTTCTTCTATCTGAACCACAAGATTTGGTGCATGATGACCATGGAGACCAAGCAGAAAGGACACAATCCACACCTGGAACTAAGTGAACAGTTTATGTATAAACATTACAAGGAGAATATTTGAAGCTCAACTTACAATTTTTTGATTGCACAATTATAGCATGCGTAGACAAAACTGATGACATGTTTCTTTTCTGTTCTTATCCCAAGTTTGCCTAGTTTTGTCTCCTTCAGATAAGATTATCTTATATCTAACACATAATTTGTTAGGTTTGGAATTACTAGTTAAATATTGGATTAAATTTCAAGTCAGTTTGTGCGAAAAATTAATTTTTTTGCTTTATGATCTGTAACATAATCTATTGTATCAGGAAAGAAAATATCTGAAAGAAGAGCTATTGCTCTTGAAAATCAAAAGTTGAAATAAATTCAAATATTTATTTTAAACAACTGTTCAATAAGTAGGCCAATATTTTTCATTTATTTTGATATATAATGAAAGCACAGATAAAATTATATTTTAAAGAAAATGAATAACATTAATAACAATTATTAAGGAGCCACATTCATTTTACCGTAGAGGAAAATGTCTTTCCTATTTGAATTTGTATACCAAAATGGATTTTTAATGTAAATTATTTTGGAATGTAGCTCAACATTTAAATTGAACTATTAAAAGTAATAAATGATTTCAATGCAGAAATTGGGGAAGCTCTTTTGCAAAGAATGGTCAGAGGAAGGGTATTATGGATTGCCATGTGACAAAAAAGTGAAAATTCAGCATCTATTAATCCTTATTTTCATTGGTATGTTAAAGAAACCTTATGTTACCTCTAGATTATTTTACGCTGACAAATATAATTTAAAACTTTTATCTCCCATTTTCTTCTTTGTACATTTATCTTAGAAGTGTTTTGGTAAATTCAATTTTTGGAATATTACATTTTTAACCAATATTAGCACTATATTTCCTATAATGAGCACCACAAATTCATTTCATTGTGACTTCAATGATCATCTTAGAAAATGAAATGAACTGGTAAAGAAGAATCTACCAATCAAAATTGTCAGACATTTCAGAGATAAATTTGTTTCAAAGAACATTCTTCTGGTACTACATTCAAAGTAGAATATTCTTCTCTATGCCTTCAAATGCTTATATATACAGCAGTTTCATACAGCACAACCATGCAATAAAATATTACTTCTCTTGATTGCTTGCTAATAAGAAATAAGCGGATAGTTTTCTTTTTAAAAGGAGTTGTTTGATATGATTGATGTTGAGGTTTGATGCAATCAATTTTATCATTATTTTGTTGTTCAGAGTATAACGTGTAAATACTATGTGTACATGTACATTGCATCAAATATAGATAAAAACTTTGTAATAGAACATTTTTTTTTAAAATTTACTTAACCAAAGAAGAATGGCAGTATAAATGAAACTAAAATCTAACATTTCCCCCCTTCGCCAGGTAATGCATGTTAAAATTGTTTTATGCTGTACAATAAGCACCTTTCAAAATGCTAACTTATCTGTGTATTAAATTGTCCTATTAAGACAATTAACTATTCCCTGCAATGAAAATGAGAAATGCTTGCTCAGAGTGTGACATATCCAAATGTCTCTTGTTTTTGTTGAACCAAGAAACAGCATCATCTATTGTAATTTAATAGTTTATTTTGGAATGTGAAAGATTGAATGCATAAAATTTGTAACAGTTTTAGTAGTGTTTCATCTGCTGAGTTAATTTGTTTAGCCAAACTGTGAATTGTGTACTATATTGAATGGCAACACCTACAGTAATTTTGTTTTGTATTAAAAAAATCGATAAATAAACAAATTTATCTGGTTTTATTACAGTATGGTCACAGTGCTTGAAGATTGTAAGTCAAAAGTGATCTTATGGAGGGATTTTAATAATTCAGATTGTCACTATAATTTTTTTGAGTTACAGCATATCTGAAACATTACGTACTTGACTTGATCCAATGAGCTTCTCCCCATGTGGGGTTCTCGTCTGACTGCATCTGGTTTGCAAAGTCTGTCAAAACAGATGTAAGAACTTTAGTCTTGTACCCACAGGAAGTTGACAGTAATTCATTGTTTTGGAAATAATATTCCTTAATTGGAAAATTTCTCCGGCTCATGAAGTTAAAGAGCACTTCACACAGCATAAAACGGATCCTGTCCAATGAGGAAACTGAACATTTTTTATGTGTCCTTCAAGAAAAATCTTTTATAAAACAGAATACCTGCAAATTTGATGCAATTGGTAGAGAAAAGCGAGATATTCTTAAAGGAATGAATGCATCTGCAAGTTCTATGACCCTGTGTCATGTGATTTAGTCTTGGTAGCCACACAATGAAGGAGGGGTGCTTTAACAATCAGCATATTATTCGAACTTGTAGTCGCTTGTTTCTCAAGATGTAGACTGTAGAGGAATTCCCTCCCGCCCAGCTCTCTGAGCCTGAGGAGGTGTACAGGCATGGCTTCTAGTTTTCACACGCTTCCCTGCCTCGAATTTAAAATCTAACCCCTCAACCATAGACACATTGCTTAAGGCCATGCGAAGGTATCAGAATGATAATAGTACTCTGGGCTGCGATGCATTGTGCATTCTAAGAGTCAGCAAACAGCCTGACTGCAGTCACTAGATGGTGTGGTGGTATGTATTTTTATGAGTTTCACAACCAGTTTAACAATGATAGAAAAGAAAAACCCTAAAACTCCAACCTTAGATGAAAAGGTCGAAGTTAAAGAAGCAAGCGAAACACAGAAGCTGTCAATGAAAAATGTTTAATGTTCATTTATTGGTGATTTCTTCCTTAAATGTTTATTTGATAATGTATTTTAATAATTATAATGAAGTCATGTATTTACTGGTTTCAGGACAGTAATATCAATATCACTAGTAGCATAAAATGGAACCCTCTCTAAACCAAAATTTTTTTGGGTCCCAATTGATTCCAGCTTGGACAGATATCACTATATCACCAAAGAATTTAAACTTCTGGTTCACCAAATAGGTACATTGTTACCGCCACCTATACTAACGTTGTAAATTATGATGAATGCAGTAAGTTTACAACCAGAATGATTTGAATTTTCAATTCATTCCATAGCAAAATGGTATCTTTGAAAAAAATATCCGAAAGATTAAACATACAAGAGATTATTATGATAATTAAGTTACAGCTCTTTTCTAACAAATTTGTTGTTTTTCCCTCTTTTTCTTCTTTCTTTCTAATTTAGAAAGTAATTTTTCTCCCTTTATTTAACTTTTTGCAGTATTGAAAGCTATTAAAATATATTGTTATTTTTGAAGTAATCTGATAACTTTTTTTTTTTTTTTTAATTTTCTAAAATTACTTAGAATGTTGAAAATGGAGGAATGCCCCTACTTATTTATCTTACCATCACATTGTGGCTTTTGACACTTGTGCTTCTTTCGAAGTTTAGGACATGGTTTTCCATTCTTGGTAGGGTGAACCTGAAAAAATTGAAAAATTGTTGAGATTTCAAGAAGTCAATGAATGAAATAGTAAATGTGCAATGACTGAAGTAATTATACCTCAATTTTTCGATATTTATGTTTGTACCCTTCACCACATGTGACAGAACATGCTGTCCATGGACCCCAACGGCTCACACGACAGTTGATTGGTCTTTCATTATTACTTCTGTCTCTCTCTGGTTGAGTTGTAGTCTCTTCTGAAACATCATCTGTGCTAACCTGGGTTAAACTGAAGCTTGGTATACTTCGGAAGCCATTATTTGTTGTATCTGTATCCTCTAAAAACAAAAGGGGTTGATTCATTTTATTAATTTCTGAAACACTCATTATTCAAATGTTTTATTACTCACAAATAAAAAATTTAATTAGGAAAATGTGTGTTTATAAACATTTATGTTCATTAATACTTAGTGCAGTGCAGTGATCTGTAAAATTTTAAGATAACCACATTTTTTCTAAAATGCAGAAAAATACTATAAATTTGGTAATCATATTCTGGTCCAGGTTCTTCAGAAACTACAATTTTTTTGTTTCTAAATTCCCAATAATTCAATACTATTGCTTGTTATCTTAAAATTTTAACAAATCATGATTAATATATCATAACTTAATAAATTATATCAGTGCTTCTAACACAGCCCAACAGTTACAATATGATACAAAAGGTACCCTCATGTACCACAATTTGGGTCCATTGGTTTGCCATCCTCTCGGAGAAGCACATTATAGGAGAGGACCCCTGACAGAGAGACACCGTACTCTTGTAGCCTTGCTGTGCGATTTGCCAGGAGCTCCTCTTCGTACATGAGCAGCATGCAAGGAACCCATGCAACTCTCATTACATATGAAGTTACTTCAGTCATACACGCAGAAGAACATACATTTTCCTATTTTTGTTAGTATTTGTTTTAACTACAGGCTAGATTTTAAAGGGTAAACGATGAAACAAAGACAGGAGATGAAATTATTGTCTAATGAAATGAGGATAAAAAGACATTAAAAGGATACTTGTCCCCCCTCTATAAGTGGAAAAAGTTTGTGCTCAAGCTCATTTCAAGATGCCTTCCTGCCATGTTCGTTCTGAAAACTATGGTTTAATTTCTTTGGAGTAATAAAGAATAGGTTAAGGTGACTATATTTTCCCTGTTCTGTTTTGTAATGCACTGATAACTCATCCCTTTCTACATTTTTGCTTCTTTAAAGACATTCTTGATAACCATGAGAGACTGTGTCCAATTATATTTCAATTTTTAATTGTGTTTCATTATCAAATTGTTTTGTAATAATTTTTTCTAAGAAAATTATGTTGAGAAAAGTAGGAATGGAAATTTAAAATCCTTTTAATATGAAGTGTTTAATTATATTACAGTATGAAACAGGCTAGTATTCTATTGGACTGTTGTGCATTTTGTTCTAACATTTCAAAATAAAATTTGAATGTAATTCTTCTATAGTTTCATCATGATGATGAATCTAGCAATTTTCCCAATTTATCCATTGTTTGTGGTCAAATATAAAACAAAATGGTGAAAAGTGTAATATTCTTGAAAACATGCTTTTTCTGCTTAATTTGTGTTTTAATGTGTTGTTGTTTTTTAAATAATATCTGCTTTTCCTTATCAAAGAAAAGAAACACACAACATGTATTGTATATAATGTCAATGGGATTAACAGTTATACTACATTAGTATTTTGAGGATTAACAAATGATAAAAGAAGTTACATTGGTATAATTATTTTCATAAAAAGTGGAGATAATTAGGAAAGAAACAAATTAGGAGAGGTAACGGAACTAAGTTACTGAAGTACACAAATGTCTAATAGTGAACAGGTCTAATGTAATAAATCTAGGTCTAACGTAAATACTTCTGAACATAATCAGAAGAGTGAAAATAAACATTGGTAAATGCAGTAAATAATGAAACTACGAGCGCTACAACATCACAAACTTTCTCAGGTTACTGGTAATGGTAATGTAAGTTATAATATTGCACTGCCTATCCTACAAACTGCAGTATCTTTTGAAGAAAAAAATGATACAATCCTAAATTAGGTGAAAATTTCTAATATTTTGAAAAAAAATAGTAAATGAAATGATTTAATGATTGTATATTGAGGAGTAGAAGGTATAAAGAAAGAAATCTCGTTTCAAAGTCGAAGCAATAGGTAGGTTTGAAAAAGAAAACTTGAACTTTGTCCTCATACAACTAAAATTATTCAAAAACTAAATATTTTGAAAAAGTGTACCTGACATTATCTAAAGATCGAATATTGAGGAATAAATTGTGAGAAGAATGAAATCTCTCTGTTTATTTGTGTAGTTGTAAGAAGAAACAAAATTGTTATTTAAACAAATGTCATTTGTAAACAATTGTATTTTTTTAAACAAAATTGTCATTTCAATCAAACCTACATGAAAAGTACTCATATATTGTATGTGACGTAATTTATAGATACAATTTTGAAGAACAGATTGTTGTTAACTAAATAAACCTTCAATTTTATGGTAAGATTGGAAATTTTTTAACTTATGCAATATTTAAACAATTCAGAGGTTTTATGGGAAATTGGACTTACACCTTTTTTATCAGAGTACTTTGCTTTATCTAAGTAAATAATTCAAAGAAAACATTTAAAGCTAGTATTAGAGAATTTTGAAAATGCTCAAAAGGCTTCATTTAAAAATTTAAGATCTTTTCCAAATTCATCCATTCATCAGCCAGTTTGATATGGGAATACTTGTTACGGTGAAAATCTTGCGTTTTATTAAGCACGCGCGACGTTTACAGACAAGGGACATTTTGGGAAATAACCAAACATTTACATTATGAGACATCCAAAACATATTTCTGTGAAAACCTCAACATTGATATATTTCAGCATTACATAACTTTATCTATTATACATTAAAAATTAAATTAAAAGAAATTACATGAACATTAAATTTTCAGGCAATTTTATGAGAGATAATAGTATAAGAACTAGAAGTATTGCAAGAAACATTTGAGCAGTTGTTTTTTGAGCTGTGTTGAATCATTAATTTTCATTTTATATAATGAATAATGCTTTATTTTTGAAGAAAAACTAAAATGATTTTTTTATAAATAAAAATAACCAAAACATTAAAAAAATAAAAAATTAAGTGATGTATCTAAAATGTCAAAGATACAGTGAAACCTGTCTTAAATGGTCTCTAATGGTTCTAGAGAAAATTGACAATTAATCGAGGGGCTCCTTAATCAAGGTTACAAGGTTGTGAGGAAGCATTCACCAGAGCTAACTGAGTTGATTAATAAGAAATAAAATGATACCAAAAAAATAATTTTAATTGCTTGAAACTATAAAATACAACTTATACAACAAACTACCCTTAAATTACAAAAGAAAGACATTTTTTTTTTACACATGAACTTTTTGCACAAAAAATGTTTTTGTAGGTTGATTTTTAAGAAGTTTACATCTCTTTTTAGCAGGTTTTTAAGATTCCTAATACTACTAATTTTTTAAAATAATTTTATTCATGTGTGCCCTTCCACATATAAAATATTGGAAACTTTTATCTCGGAAATCCGTTTCTCATTTTGTAGGGTTTATATCCTCTCAACTAGTATCAGAGCACTTGTTCTCTTAGTTGCTAACCTCGCTGAACGAAACTCACTATTACACTACACATCAAAATGCATTTCACATTCTGTGAGAAAGATCATCTCACAAAGAAGCTTCTGTGACAAAGATCTTCACATCACATTCACACATGCAGGGCACTCCGGACGCCATAGAGAAGTTGCCACAGATGGGGTCAAAAGACCAGTAAACTTCAAGAGAATGTATGTGCAATGGGTGAAGCTAACACATTATTTTATAGAGTTTTTTATTGAAATCATCTTGAAAGACAAATTAATCCCCCTGCCTGTTAAAGACTAGACCTCACTGTTCTTACAAGTAACCTGATTCTGCATTCTGTCTCAAAATTATACTGAATCAACCGAATCTTCTCAAGTCTTCTACTCCTTATTTTATATTGTTAATTATTATAGGTGACTGTTTAATGGAGGTCAATCTATGTAATGGGCTATGGGGCCAGGTTGCTGCTTAAATGAGGGAATTTTTATATATGTCTTGTGGAAAAATTAATCAGTTGCATGGAAAATAAAAACAAACAAAAAAAAAAAAAAAAAACTTGGAGGGCTGCTTAATGGAGATTGGACCAGGTTTCACTGTAATTTAGCGTAGCTAAGAGATTAATGGTGCTCAATCCAATAAGTTCATAAGAAAACTTTGAATGTTGTTACATTGCATACTCGACATATTATTTTAGAAAAAGGGAAAGATGATTAAAAATTGGAGTCCTTTTGTGTTCTACAATGTTAACACAAATTGTTTTGATTTGGTTTTGTAAAACTAAGTAAATGCTGTAAAATTGTAAAGGAAAGAAAATAGTTTCACCATCAATACAATAAAACTGAAATTTTCAGAAACATAATATCATAGAAATAAGTGGACAAAATTTGCAAGAATAAGATTCTTACCAATGACAGAGCTACAAACTTCCTCGCAAATTTCTTGTGAAGCAAAATTATTTCTATTACCACGACAGCCACCATAATTAAATTGTTTGCAACGTCCCACTTCAACATCAAAGTACCAATGTTCAGACTGGAAACGGCATGGCCCTTCATCTTTTGGTAACTGACATATTTCTGAAAAAGAGAAGTACCTAACCGTTAAGAACAATTTAAAGGGTAACATTTGTATTATGAATTCTAGAACTTTAGTTAATTATGTACTTAAATGCGACTTTCAATCAAGTTTTTCATTATTAGCTATTAGCTATAATACTCAATTTGTGGAGCTTGATCGCAGATTATCAGATTGAATAAACAATAAAACAATAAATAAAAAAAGTTGGAAAAAAAAATCATGAGAAAAAAAATATCCATCATGGAGAAGTTATTTTAAAATGTGGAATAATGATAAATTTAATTGCCTTTTAAGGAAAATTCCAGAGAAGGTCCCATCAAAAGTAAATGTACTTAATTCTATTTCAAAGTAAATTATAATAAAATTATATTAACGTTCTTTACCATTAACCCAAGATATTTCTTTGAAATATCTTCATTGTCATTGAAGATAGTTCTTGTAGTGTTCTTTATTATACCAGAATTGACCAACATTTAGTTACAATAACAAATTACAAGTTATAACTTAGGTAATTGTATTGGTGGTTATAGAAAAGTTTCTAATAACTAATTGTTAATAATCCTATTTGTAAACTATTTTTAGTTTTACAGAAAATAGCATATTTATTAACAGTAATATTAAGTGAAATATTTGTCAACAAGTTATTCTAGTTGTGTTTTATTACAAAGATCCACATTCAACCTGTCACCTGAGGAAAATCCCAAACACAGAATTAAAATGTTAGGACAAATAAAATATTATTGTCTCTTGGAGTTGGTTACCAATACAATGGGTGTAAACATCAATTAAGAATTGTTTTACAATTATTAAGTATATAAAAATGAAGTGGAAAATATAAAACACATGTGGGAGTGGTTATCAGTTAGTAGTTACAAGAAGATCAGTAACTGTAATTACTAAGGAAAGGATTTAGAGGTGCAAATCACGGTCATAAAAAGGGGAGAAAAGGTTCTGAAAATACTTATTAAAAGGTCTAAAAAAGGTGCTGGTAAATCAACTGTATTAAGGGTTAAACTGTTGCAGCAAACTTGTTGAAATTTAAATTTGACTTTACAGCTGCAGATTGGCCATTGTTGCTGGGATATAAATTACTGGTAGTTTACATTAAAGATACTTAAATTATTTATTATTCTTGACTTCTGATTAAATGAGATTTTAAAAGTCTGTTCACGAAGAGAAAAAAACATTTTCTGCCCAATTGTGTAAAAATGGAGAAAAGGTGCTGAAGCATAAAAAAAGGGGGGAAGAAAGTGGAAGAATGCAGTAATCCCAAGAAAAGGTGCAACAAATTGTGTTCATTTCACTTCATATCATTTCCTCAAAAACATTAAAATATCTGTATGAAAACAGCGATATTTTTGAAAAGATGCTACACCTTAAAATCCTTTCCCTAGTAATTACATACTTGCAATGGGATAGATGCTTTTGCAGTTGCCAATTGTAATGCCTATTGTAATTGTAAGGCATATCACTTAATCATCACTTTTAGTAGTATAAACATCAATTCAATTGTAATTTTTACTTATAAGTTATTCTAATTGAAAAGAAGTTATCAGATATAAATGATATTTACTACTGTAGATGAACATAACTCATTACTCTGTTTACACATTCTCATTACTCTGTTTTGTATCATATATGAATGGAATTATTAACCTCTTGCATCTTCTGGACTAATGTTGCAATCTTCATGAATATTAGTACATTGCATTTCTTGACTTATTTTGTATTTTGAACAATCTGCATGATCACTGGCTGCAGCAAGCATTTCGATTTCATCATTAGAATTTTCTCCATCCATTAAATCCATGCCATCATCATGTCGTTTATTCATTATTTCTATCTGCCGAGTGTGGAAATCCCGAGCAACCAAGAGTCGAGATCGTATTCTAGTTCCATTGCCACATGTTACAGAGCAAGGGCTCCAGTCAGACCAGTGGGTGACTTCACAATGCTTGGGAATATCCTGAAAAGAAACATATTAACCTGATTTTTGTAAAAATTTCAATAAGCAAATATTAATCATTCATAAAAATACTTCAATATCATCATCATCATCATCATCATCATTATTATTGTTATTGTTATTATTATTTTCCTAATCATTGACAATATATGTTCACTGTATTAAGATCTGGTGCCTTAAGATATGACCTGACAGTTAAAGCCTGATGCCTATAGAATTAAATATGATGAACATGCATTGAAACATAGTGAATATTCCTTCCAGTCCCTGGAAGTCCCTGTCTCTCAAAGTTCTTATGAGTTGGTTCAAATCTGAAAAACCCTATAACGATAACTAAAACAATATTTTAGGAAGAAAAGAAAGCTTCCTGCTTTACCCTGTTTTAAAGGCATTAAGAACGCACTCCTTGATTAAATTTATTGCTTTGGAATTATAATATATTTGTTTACTGTTAATCACTTATAATTTTTTGAATGAAAAACTTGGTTGTTAAAAAGGTTTTAAGAAAATAGGTATCCTTGATTTGATAAAGGAGAAGAGTTTACGGCCAAAGATAATATACAAAAAATTGTTAATTTGACACTTTTTTTTGACAAAATGAAAACCGAAAGTGATAAATGATTCTTGGTTTTCCCTTCTAATGAAATTACAGAAAGAAGATACCTTATCATTTAATTTATTTTGTTTGCAGAAAATCATACAAGTTTGCGGTAAATTTGTCACTATAATAGTATTTACAATTATTGTTTTTATATTTCGGCATGTGGGAAAAAAAAAGGAAATAGTAGTCAGAAGTTCAGTTACAAGTCAGAAAAGTTGAATTACAAGTTATGTCAAAAAACATGTCACTTGAGAAGATGTAAACTATTGAGTACGTGTGTATATATTAATATAAATAAATCAATAATCAGTTCATGTAGTGAATATTGAAATGTATAATTATTTTCAATAAATATACAAACTTCTGGAGGCTCTTCACTGCAGCCTGTTACGTAAGGATCAGGATCACAATGCAAAGTTTCTTGAAGAACTGGGTGATGATTGAGTGAAGAGCAATATTTGAAATACTCTTCATGCTTATATTTACGATCACGAGCCTGCACTCCACCACACACCGGACATGGTGACCATTCGGTCCATTCCGTTGTTTCACATTTTGGATCCAGCAACCCTTCGTTTGACCAAGGACTGAAATAATTATTAAGAAGCATTAAATTAATAATATTTATTAATAATACCACCATTAATAATTATAAAAGTAATAATAATATTAGAAGTTTAAAAAAAATTGCATGGGATCCTATAGAAATTCTAATGAACATTAGAAAGGATAGAACTCCTGAAAAGAGTGAGAAATTCATCCACTAAAACTGCGACTTCTTGCCTCGGCGGAGATTCATTCCGAAATCGCGGAATTACTTAGGAATGGCAACTTGCCTTTCAGCCTCTGAAGACTCTCCAGTGGCGTAACGTTCGGGCCAGCAAGTCCCGCAGTGCGGGCGGGCTCGGGTAAAAGAGCGTCTACTTTTATCTGAAGGTTTTGTAATTGTTAGAAATATTAATTCCTTGATACTTTCTCTGATACCCTGATGGTTGATTCAAGGAAAGGTTAATTAGTAGTGCAACAGAATGGCACACACTTTCCCGTATTAATTTTCTATTTCCCTTGTTCTCGGCTAGCTATTTGAACATGACACATACGAGTACTCTTGCTTGCTGCCATCTATCGCGGCCCAAAGTACATTTTTTTGGACATTTTCTTAATTTTTTGGTTTCCTCACGGTATAACGGAAATATTATTTTGAAGATTATTAAAAAACAGTACAACCTCGTCCTAAATGGCAATTTTCTTTGAAACACTTGGAGCGGTTTTTAAGAAAATGACGCTTAAGCGCTACAGTAAATTTGAAATTTGAAGCACTTTTCCGCAGAAAACGTTTGTGTTTTCTAAAACCTTCATTTGAAATCATTTGAAGCACTTTAACTCCCAAATACAATGCTGTTTACAAATTGCTAGAAATGTGCATATTATGAGAGATCTTCAAAAAGAAAATAACGTGTGTGTGATTTCTTTCGAAAAGTTTGGAGAAAAAAATGGAGCCGTTTTTGAGAAAATGGCGTTTGAGCGTTTCTGAAAATGCGAAATTTTGAGCTAGTTTTGACAGAAAAGACGGTTGAGTTTTCAAGAAGCTTTATGACATTATTTAAAGTGCACATTCTCATAAGTACAATAATGTGAATAAATTGTCGCAAATGTAAATATTAACGACGTGAGAGACAAGAAAAATAATGGAGCAATATAGCGTTTATGTCATATTATAGAGTCCTTTTAGCACTATCCCTACCAAAAGTTCGAAGAAAAAAATTTGGAGCCGGTTTTGAGAAAAACTTATCTTTGTAATTTTTTAAAATTGCCCATATTGCTTGCAATATTGCGCGAAAACTACTAAAATTTTCAAAAAAAAAAAAAAAGTATATGACCTTAAAGAAGTAACTCACTATGGAGAAGAAATGCATTTGAAGAAAAATCTCTATCTTTAATTTTGTAGTTGTAGGAAGACACCGAAAAATTCATACTTTTTAAATTTTCGAAAATTCAGAGTTCACCGAGAAAATTGGACGTATACCACGTTTAAAAGTGTATGTTACTCTATTCTTACAAGAAATTTGAAGAAAAAATTTGGAGCCGTTATTGAAAAAAATTAAAAATGCCCGCAGGATTTCAGGTAAAGTACCCCCAAATTTTGAAGAATGTTTTTCAAAATCTCAAAGTTTCTACTCGAGCCAGATGGACAGGGATTTCTTCAATTGGAAAAAAATCGCACGTATGGTTTAGTAGTGTTCACAGACGGACGTTTTGAGAAAACCCACCTTTTCGGTATAAGGGGACCCCAAAACCGTTCCGTTTTTCCGTTGAAATATCGAAATCGACTTTCCGCAGCATTACATAACTTTCCCTATATACCCATATATACACGTATGAAATTCTGCAGTACAAAAGAATATACACATCATAAACACGTATCTACATCAATATAAAACCAGTAAGAATAATTTTTGCATATTTTGTTGCATGTTTTGAAGATAATAATTTGATTGTAATTTGTTCACTGTAAATACTCATTTTTGTTATTGTGTCTCTTTATTTATTATTGCTTGTTCAATAACCTATGTGTAATGTTGACAATTTACTTTATGTTAATGTTAGTTGCCATTTGGCTTATAATTTCCATTCGTTCCTTGGAAAACATCTAAATTTCTGTACAAACAGTTTTCATAGCATACAGTAACTGGCAAACAGTACACATGATTGGGTAAAGCGTAGTCAACAACGGTAATACGAAAAAAGTATAAAGTAATGCTACCCTCTCTGACAAGTAACTGAGGACAAAAAGTACTTAGAGAGGGTTTGGAGTGCCCTGGATGAAACAAATTTTATAAGAAAGGTATTTTTGCTAACAGGTTTAAAATGTAACGTAGGCAAGCAAAATTAGTATTCTTTCTTCTTATTTTGTTGTTTTAATGGTAAAGATTTTTGTTGTTGTTCTAAATTTTATATGTAAATAGTACCATCCGATGTACACTATCGATGTAATTCTTTGGGAAAAATTATTATTATTATTATTATTATTATTATTATTATTATTACTATTATCATTATTATTACTATTATCATTATTATTATCATTATCATTATTATTATCATTATTATTATTATCATTATTATTATTATCATTATTATTATTATTATTATTATTATTATTATTATTACATATCAACCAGCCGTGATTGTCGTACTGTATTTTATAGTAAAGATCAGTGCAAGATTTTCGTAAGTTTCTCTGAAATGAATTGAATGTCTCATAGGTATTGAAGCATACTCGTTGCCATTGTGCAATAGCACTGTTTTTAAACTCATTTTTATGAATCCATGAAAAGTCGTCAGTCATCCAATTCCATTGCGCATCTATTTTGGACGTCCTTGGTTTAAACCCTGATCTCATACCACGAACAGGTACTTACTGCCATGTGGAAGGAAAACTGCAGAAATTGTATCACCAGTTATAGATGACGTGAGTGAAAAGGTACATATTGCTGCTTCGAGGAAAACTGCTAATTCTATCACCAGTTCATAAGTGGCGTTACTAACGTGTATGCTAAATGCAGAAAGCTGCCGGAGACCTACTCCCCAGTTGAAGTCAATTTGTGAAAAAGCTGTGGGTGATGGAGCATTTCTACTTACATTTTCGATTTCAGCGTACAAAAATACATAAGGGACAGTTAAAATGTTGAAAAAAGTTTTTTCATCGCAGGCCTGTGTAATCATCTGTCCCACTCTTGCGTTTCAATTTTCGGGAGAGAATGTTCTCCACCTTTTCCTTCAGTTCAAACAACAATATTTTTCTCCAGGTTGTTTGGGCGGAGCAGTGGTATACTCACGTCTGACGGGAGTACTTCTAACTGCCTAGACACTCTCTCGAACCTCGTCACTATCAGTGTGGGCATCAAGGTCCCGGATCTCGAGTGCCAACCTGGTTTCAGTTGCCGGACGCTACCCACTTCGCCTAGCGTCTGCTTCAGAATATTGTCCGCCTTCTGTGTGCTTTGTCTTCACGATCAGTTCGATGAGGATATCACTGGCTCTCTGAAAAATCCGAACACCGCTTGTCTGTCTTCGGGATTTATCTTCTTCCTGATTTTCCCGAGAACCATTGCATGTCTTTCCGGTTGGCTGAACTGATGATCTCCGCGTTTCCTCTTAGCTTCCGGCGCTTCTTATTTTTTTTAACGGTAGTCAGCCTCAGCTTCTCGGTTTTCATCCGTCTTTGTAAGCTATTTGACGTGCACCATAGGTTTGATCTCGACCTTCTTCTTCCTCTTCTTCAGAATCTATTCGGCTGTGTTCCTTCACTCTTCTGGGTTCTTTGTGCGGCTCCTTCCTGGGCGCCCTTCCTCGTCTCGGGATCGCCTTTCTCCAGAATAGAAGCCGCTGCATTGTTTTGGAGCTTCATTTTCTGCGACCTTATCCTTTCTTCTTCCAGTATTTTTTCCATACCATGCGTTACACACTGCGATTTTCCAGTATCTTGCCATTCTGTTCTCATGCGGCGCATTGCGATGCCGGAAATCCCGCGGCCTCTCGTCTCGTGCTAGAATTCAAGACTGCCGTCATGCTGGATGAGCTGTCGTTGCACCCTCGTCCGCATGAAGATCACGGAGTGTCCGCGGGAAGGCGACTCAATTACCGCTCGCCGTGGTAATCCTCCGCATCGGAGGATTCGGCGTGGCAGCTCAAGTCACAGGGATCTACAGGGCGATCTCGATAGCTGTATTCCTCTCCGCCCTGACTTTCCTTGCTTCGCTCATTTACCTATGGGATCATGCCCGTAAAAGCAGGCGCGCGTTCGCTTCGCGCACCACACCACATTCGGTCCGAGTTCAGATCTACCAATCAATAATAATAATAATAATAATAATAATAATAATAATAATAATAATAATAATAATAATAATAATTCAGTAACATGAGGAAAAACAGGTGCATTTTCTGACTCATGCACCTTTGATATAAATTGAAGTGTGGTATTTGTATTTCTGACATTAACTTTTTAACTTAATGGTATGATGCAAATTGATGACATAATTTGTCAGTGTCATTAAATTGATGTAATACAAATTACAACTACATTTAGAATTGTAAATTTCAGAGCTGGCCAAAAGTATTTTATAGTAAATTGTGTGAAGTTTTGTCGTTTGAACTGTACAAAATAATTTGTTTATCATTGTAACATTTTCAGTTATTTTTGTTACTTACGGTGGGCAGGGAGATTTATCACAAATAAATCTTCTCGTAAGTGTTTCATTGCAAAACGCATCATTTGCTTTCTTTGGATCCAAGTATTCTCGTTGCTGCAAGCGAACACCTCGCCCACACGTTACACTGCATGGGCCAAGAGTTGTGAATGGCGTTGTTGCACAATCTGCAAAATATGATAAAAAATGTACAACAAAGATCATTCATTAGTACTGCACTTTTTATTTTAATTCACGTAACAGAAATAGGTTGGCGAGGGTTGTTCACAAAAATGAACGTGTATTAATGTAATTAATATATCACATCAATATATACCAGTTAAATCTGTTATACAATATCTATCCAGAAACAAATCCCAAATAATTAAAGTACCCCTATAAAAGCTCTGAAAATGATTTAACATGCCAAAAAAATATAAAGAAATTACTGAATTATTTGCAGGGATCAGTTGGCTTTCTTTATTTGCCTTAAACGTAATATCTTCTAGCAATTTATTATACATATATTATTAATACTCGTACAGTTGTTTAAAACCCTTTGAAAATAAGCCAACAGAACAAATATGATTTAAATATGTTCATTCTAATAATGAAAGAATGTAGGTTATTTTTGGGTTTTGTGATTTATTAAATGTTTGTTAAATGAACTGAAAAGAATCTGATTAATAGAAAAAAAATATTAAGTAGCTTAAGTAGATCTTTATAATACCAAAAACAAAAACTGACTGATACATCAATGCAAAGCCAAAACTGATGCTATGAACATTAAATTTGGAAATAGCTTCCTACTACTACGTATTGTACGTAAACATTAAGTAAGGCTTTTTCAAAGTTGATCTTGTGAAGGAATGAAATAGGATTTTTTTCTTTCGTGCAGTCCAAAATGCATCAAAACATGACTGATTACAGGACAGCATAGGAATGGGAGACAGCGTAGTCGGGGCTTACTCGCGTAACACTATACAACACAATGATTTTTTTCTGCGATGGATTGCAAACATGTTTCCTATAGTTAACATCGTGCGCTGAATTCGAAACTGCCATCAGATTTTCTCTGACTGGTCAGGAACAAAGATATTATTTAATATTGTCGAAGTGTTCAAGCGTTGAGTTCTAAAGTATGTTTATTTGTATCAGTGGCGGTTCGTGCTTAGATTTCACGGTAGCACAACCCCCCAGATAATCGAAACAGATCTTATAATATCTTAGGAATATACATTTTCCTTTTAATGACATTCAATATTCAAGATATTGCAGCAATATCGATGTACACGAAATCATTTTGAAACCTAACAGCGCCCAACTGGCGCTCTCTCCGGTGTTTGGTGCCCTCCCAGGAATAGCACCACTCTCTTGGCTGTATTACTGGGTTTACTACATTTACTCTTCGGCCCTTCAATTTAACATCGGAACATGCGGCCTTTGGAGCAGAGCGCAATACCGTCTTCGTTTGACTATCTGCAACTTAATAAATTATAAATTTTGCTTGTTATTGAAAGTACACAAGCTCAGTCAATTATTGATAGAATTTAATGCATGATTTACAATGTTTAGAGAATTTGTTTTAATTTGATATTAGATTTATTGATTCAAAATGTACACTTGATGAATTCTTTGTGTTAAGTTGTTCTTTCTGGAATGAAGTCCCTTTCTGCCTCCCACGGTGGCGAGGACGGGCATACATACTAGCGCGTGTGTTGAAGGATCTTTATTACAAAATATGCCAGGGTAGTGAAATTTTGGGAATAAAATAATTTAATTGTGTGAAACATGTTGAAGCAATAGTGCTTGTTACAATGTGCTGGAGGCGAACTTAAGTGCCCGGTGGAAATCGAAGTCAGAACCACGTGCGCGGAAGGTATATATGACACGGTATATCTGTCACGGACACTACGGATAAAATTATATAAGTAATGTTTCGATATAGACTTTTATTTAACTCAGTTTTAATTAATTTACTTGAATTTCTTACATTTTTATTATATATTCGTATATTGAATTTGGGAAATTACATATTCGTTAACTTCCAGTCTGCTGGAGCACCAGCCGCCAGTAAATGACAATATACTCTTAATAGTCAGATTCCCTTAGTTCTATTCAGCTACACAAGACTGCCTTGGTTCGAAAGTGTGCAAAGCTTGGTTTTCGCCCGTGCACATCGTCTGTCGATCTTTGCACAAACCAACAGTAATCCACATATCATATTTTGGTTGAAGCAGCGCTACATATCTATCTTAAATGGTGGCTATTTCTTAGTAGAACTTTTCTCAGTATTGGTCACCCCCTTATTTGGCGGAATGGAGGTGAGATACGCGAATGCATAAAGATCACGACTATTTAAAGTAGCAAATTCAGTGTTGCGTAGTGTCAGCGCAAGAGGGTCGGATTGATCCCTCAGTTAGAATTCATTATTTTTCCCTCTAAAATGTATGGTACTCGATGAATGAACGAATGAATGAATGAATGAATAAATAAATAAGTAAATAAACGAATGAACGAATGAAACTAAAGAAAATGAATATATGAATGGAAATTATATTATGAATGAAAATGAATGAATAATTTAATGTATGAATCGCTGCATTACGTAAGTTAGAATGAAAATATATATGTAAATTAAAGCCAAGATTATACCCATTTGCATTATGTATAAATAATATATACTATATAGGAAGCAACAAGCTGTGAAATGCGTGAATTGCCAAAGCTGCTTTCGCATTAAAAATTTTAAGATTTTCTTTCACTTTAGGTGACTTCATAAGTAGCGCTAAAATGTTGTAGTCTGCTTCAGAAAATTGAAAATATGTCATAGCTGGTTAAACTTTACCTATGTTTTTATTATCGTGTGAATCACAGCTGAATTTTTCATAAAGACGCTGGCGGGTCAAATATATTCTTGCAATAGGCTTCATTTCTGCACCAGTTGGGTCAAAAAATGGGGAGTCCTTACTGTTTGGAAATGATGATGTAATTTGTCGGATAAGTTCATTTCTCGTTTCCTGTCCTTTAGACTGCAACCAAAAAAATTATTAAACTGAACACTCAAGTAAAAATGATGCTTTTATGCTAATAAGTTCAGGATGTACATACATAGTATGTTATACCATCATTTGTACCAGCGTCCCATGGATACAAATCAAATTTAACATTCTCAATCCAACTACAATTCTTCAAACATAGTTCTAATCCTGATATTCCAACAAACCAGTCTGGAGATGGATCTGGATAAAAATGAAATGAAAAGGTAAAAATGTTGTTACAAATATATACGTACTTAGCCAGTATTCTGTAATGAAAACTGAGTAACTAGAGAGTAACTAACATGACAAGAAAGTAATATTGATATTTCACTTAATTCACAAACATACAATTACTTATTTACATTTTATACTGTAAAGTGATGACAAAACCTACCTATGTGTGAAACTATGGACATTAAATGATGATCTCTATCTACACGAAACACTGCAAACGTTTTTCCCGTAACATTTGGCCATCCAATCCCTCTAGCTTTGATTATTGTGCGAATGTGCTGACTCTGAAATTCGAAAGAAAATGAATTATACGAACAACATACTTCATAAGAATCATTCATTAGGTGTCAGTATCAACAGTTCACTTAAAGAAATTCACGTAGACATGTATCCACAATATTTTACTGCTCATTGCCAGATGATGTTAAGCAATAAAAAGTGATGCACAAGTTTATATACCAAGTAGAAACTTTTCTGCTGCATTACTTATTCTATACAATTAGAGACAACTAGCATACCCCACCATAATTTTTCCTAAGGACATCATGAAACTGAATCGTGAGAACATGCGGTTCTTTTCCATTGTAGTTCCCTCCACACTTGCTCTGCAGACCACGGATAAATGTTAAATGAATGGTTGCACTATTCGCATAAGAAACAATCTTCATCGGTATCAAGCAACTATTAATAGTACTTCTACTTGTTGCAAGAGCGAATCTTAAATTAATAATTATGCAATAAACCTCGTTGGTCTGCGCAAAACACAAAAAGCGTAAATAGAATAAGATGGAAGAATCTAAGTCTTCTAAGCGTGACGTCACAAAGATGGCCGCCAGCTCTAAGGACTGAAATATAGGTGATGGAGAAATATATTCTCTATTCCTCCATGAATATGTGGTATTGATATCACCGAACCGCCAAAAATTTAATAGAATGTTCAAAAATATCTTATTTTATAGATTATGGTATAAACAACCTTTATGTGAGACCTTCGACCTCAAAATTTTAGATTTTAAGGCCCTAGAACGCTTTGTATAAGAGGTATTTAACGATATAGCTGACCGATAACTAACCTTGCGTGTTGCATTTTACATAAGTTGTTGAATGTTTTATTAAAAACAAATCCTTTGTATTTTGAAAGTCAAAGAGCAATTCGTCACGTCTCCGTGAAATTCTCTTTCTATGGAGACCTCATTCATAAAGATTGGCGAGAGCCGCAAAAGGTATGTATATTACTGAAATAATATAGGAGATGATACCGAGCATCAAAAACCAAAATTATATTTATTTTAATAATGATATTTAAGCACAGTTTATATTTTACATAACTTCCCTCTCTTTTTGCTAGTTGTTGGAGAAGTGAAGGGCGAGCAATACTATAAAATCAACTATACTAATGGTAATGTATAATTTTTATTACTGAAGAGTATACATTTCTGATATGCTTTTGCCCCTTGTGTTACAAAGTTTTTAATTTCGGTTAACCCTACGAAAATAAATGAAAGTTATATTAGATACTGATAATATAAAAAAAAGCGATGACTGAGAGTGATTTCTTTCAAACCTTTGTTGTAAATATTTTAGTATTAGTAATAGTAAGCGTACATTGTCCTTCAATTCTTTTTCCAGTGTTCGGGTAGTACCATTTTCTGCTACTTGGCGTAAACCAGGAGATGCTGCTTGCAGGTATTTCCAGAAACTGTAGTTAGCTGCATGGGAGGCTCCAATTACATCACTAAAACGAGTATCCCAACTTTTTGGGAAGTCCTTTGGATGTGAATGTCGAGACCACAAACCTTCAAATGTTAACTGACAAAGATACAAATTATTGAATTTCAAATCATTTTATACACACATTTGTACTAACGTATTAACCAACCAGGATTTATTACTATTATTCAATTTTCAAAATTTTTATCTGAACTGCAACTTTTTTGTTCAAAATTTTGTTTTCCGTTCTCAGTAGGATCCGGATGTTTATGCCATGTCATATTATTTTCTTTGCATTATTTCCATAGAAGACGTAAGAAAAGCATTATATTATCTATAATGACTAAAATTACGTAATTTTCATATGTCACATAAAGCCATAGTTTGGCCTTTTCAACCTTTTGGTCATTTTACGAAAAGGTTTTACATTTACATGCATGGGGTCATATTTTTCCCCATGCATTTTTCCCCATATTTATCTTTTGATTCCATTTTCGCACACTTGCTTGCAGTGGGTCTCAAAGAGATTTTTCATATCTTCTAATTGTTATCTAATTTCTTACAATTTGGTTGTTGTATATAATTGTCTTTTCTATAAATATATATGTAAATTAGGAGACTAAGCTATACAGAGAAAAAGAAACCGTAGAAAGCATCAGACGCAAAGGAAGTGTTAGTTTAATTTTGTTAGGTTTTGTGCCAAAGTCAGCGTCTTCTATAAACTTTATTTAATAACTTTAGCAAATAGAATTGTCTTTACGCGGTGCCAAACAAGAAGGTGTGAATTGTAAATGTGCTAGATTTACAAAATATATTTTCAATAATCGTTATTTAAACAGCGGAAAAATTTTGAAGGTATTGAAAAGCAACACTACAATTTTTAAGTCACACTTATAATCATAATTTCATATTATTTAAGGTCATTAATACTTGCATATTTCTAACATTTTTAGGTCATAAACATACGGGCCCTTGTTATGATTTATTATTTACACACTATTTAACATTATTATATTTCACTTATCTGATTTTAAAACTGCATTTGTCTCTTATCTAATTAGGATGAATAACTTAATATTTTCTTTTGCATGTTTACAAATGTCTAATGAGATAAAAATATGAAAAAAATATTTTTAATTTCAAATAAGAAATTGAAATTAAATTTAAGTAATTTCATAATTTTTCTACTTAAAAAGTCCAATAATTCTACATACTTCATACTTCGCTTCATCACAGGCACAGCAAGGATCTTGTACTTCAGGTTGCCTGTTGTAGACCATTCGCTCTTCTTCACAAATTGTAAGAGACAAAAATTCATCATCCATGTACCATTTACTTGTATCTTCAACGACAGTAGCCCTGAAAATAATCATACATCTTATCACATATACAGAAGATTCTGCTTCTTCAACGAAATTAATAGTAATGTTATAATCTTAATAGTGCTTATTAAAGTAGAAAGGTTTTTGAGTTTTATGTGATTAAATACTATGAAGAAAAATATGTCACATTTGAAGGCAGTCTGACTAATATTATTACAATTTAGTTTTGAAAAATAAATTTCAGATAGAGACAACCCCTTCATAGTATGCTTTCAATGGATTTTCATATCTGATTTACATTAATTACATTGTAAAAACATAAAAGGCGTCCCCATTACGAGTTTCCGATTAGGAGATTTGCTTCGGTGTGGGGGCGGTAAAGGAGGGCGTGGTGGGGGTAGGTTGGGATGGTGTGTGGCAGTTGGGGCTTGAGAGGGGCGGAGCGGAGGAGAGCGGAGGAGAGGAGAGGAGAGGAGAGCGAAACGGAGGAGAGGAGAGGAGAGCGGAGCGGAGGAGAGGAGAGGAGAGCGGAGCGGAGGAGAAGAGAGGAGAGCGGAGCGGAGGAGAGGAGAGCGGAGCGGGTCGGGGTGGTTCGGGTCGGGGGGGTTCGGTCGGGGTCGGTCGGGTTCGGGGGGGTGTCGGGTCGGGGGGGGTCGGTCGGGGGTTCAAGTCGGGGGGTTTCGGGTCGGGGGGTGGTCGGGGGGTTCGGGTCGGGGGGGTTTCGGTCGGCGGGGGTTTCGGGTCGGGGGGGTTCCGCGGTCGGGGGGGGGGTTCGGGTCGGGGGGTTCGGTCGGGGGTCGGGTTCAGGGGGTTCGGTCGAAGGTGGGGTTCGGGTCGGTCGGGGCGTTCGACGTCGGCGGGTGTTCGGTCGGGGGGGCGGGTCCGGGGGGTTCGGGGTCGGGGGTTCGGGGTTCCGGGGGCTCTTCGGCGGGGGGTTCGGTCGGGGGTTTCAGGTGCGGGGGTTCGGGTGCAGGGGGTTAAGGGTGGGTCGTTCGGGGGGGTTTCGGTGCGGGGGGTCGGGTCGGGGTCGGGTCGGGGGGTTCGGGTCGGGGTTCGATTTGTTGACGGGGGTCGGGGGTTCGGGGGGGGTGAGTCGAGGGGATAAAGAGTCGAGAGGGAGTTTCCGGGTCGGGGGAGGTTCGGGTAGGAGAGGGTCGTGGTGGCGGTGGGGGTTCGGTCGGAGGGGTTCGGGATACGGGGGGTGTTTCGGTCGGGGGGGGTTCGGGTCGGGGGGGTTCGGGTCGGGGGGGGTTCGGAGTCGGGGGGTTCGTCGGGGGGTTAAGGGTCGGTGAGAGTGTCGGGTCCGGGTGGCGTTCGGGTCGGGATGCGGGTCGGGTCGGGGGGGTTCGGGGCGGACGGTGTCGAGGGCGGAGGGGGGTTTCGGGTCGGGGAGGTCGCGGAGGGTTCGGTCGGGGATGGCTCAGGGTCGGGGGTATCGGTCGGAGGTCTTCGAGGGCGGGGGGGGGAGTATCGGGGCGGGTGGAATGGAAGTGAAGTGGGGAGGGGAACGGCATGGATGTTGACGGCGCTCACCGAAGATGACGCAGCTGCTTGCCGGGCGGGGCGGGGCGCGCCACAGCACCTCCACCGAGTCCTTGAGGCGGCCCGACGTCTGGCGCACGCTGTTGGCGCACTCGCCGAATGTAATGAGCGAGTCACTGCTTAACGTAAGGTTGCCCACGTGCTGCGAGCCGCTCTCGTCCCACTTGGGTTCCAGGTAGAGATTGAACACGCGGAACATGTTCTTGGAGGTGGGGCCGTGCCGCGCGCCGAACAGTTTCACTGCACAGTATCAAAACAAAATATCGTTATCGAGATTTTATTCCGATTTGGAAAGTGTATGCACAAAATTATTTCTCTGATTTGTGTTCAATTTTTGTCTTGCACGCTTTGTTTAGTTTTTTAATTTTCCTTTATTTCATGTGTTTTCTAAAGAGAATTCTCCAGTATAAATAAATATAAATAAGTAAGTATTCTATGGTCCACTTTCTATGTGTTATATTCTAAACAGAATTCTCCAGTATAAATAAATAAGTACGATATGATAGATGCTCTCATGAAAATGTTAAGAAGCTTCATAAATACTCGATTGCTTTGATCAATCGATAAGACAACACAATTAAAATGTTGAAAGAGCTTTTGAACGTAAAATGTAAGAAAAATATTAACTATATTTAATTATTGTAATTGTTAAGTTTATTTCAAAAGAAGAGTTGTATCATTATTTACGACTTTCACTTATAAAATTAGATGGGTGATCCTTAAGGTTGTACATAAGGAAATAACTTTGATATAATTTTAATGTACTATTATATATATATATATATATATATATATATATATATATATATATATATATATATATATATATCAATATCCTAGCCAATGACAAACATTATTATTATCATACTAGGAAACAATGTTTTATTTTGAGTCTTTCTTTTGGAGTGTGCACCTGATGTCTCTGCTTGAAAGGCTTTTCTGTACAACACATAAGACAAATTGTTTATCTGTAAAATGTTTGCAAATATATTAAATCTCTTTATAGAGCGAATGCTTATTGGTGATAATGCAATGCATTTATTATATGCATCTGTAACCAGAAACTTATTATAGAAAGGGTTCCATTTGCCGATTTCGGATTTCTAATTCTCGAACTTCTACTTAAATTCTCTTATTAAAAAAAAAAAAAGTTTGTCAAAATCGAAAAATCAAACATTTTTCCTCGCGTTTCAAATTATCGAGATTAAATTACATTATATTTTAAAAAGGAAAACATTCATGTGATATTGCTGCTTCCACATCCGAATAGTCGTGCACACAACCTAAATTCAGGTATATCAAATTACAGCTGAAACTGAAAAGAGTATCCTTGAAATGTAATATTATGCATCACGCAAAATGTCAAAATTGCGTTGCAAATTCACACAATGGACTTTTTCCTGTGAGAACGGGAGCTGGAGGCGCGAGAGGCGTCGTGTGACGTCATTCCCACATCCGCGCTCTCTGGCTGGATGCGCGGTCAACTGCGGCACGAACTTTGTTACGCTAGGCTGAACGGCAATTTGCTAGTTTCCCGTCAGATCATCCAACCAGATCCAAAACTTTGAAGACGGTTTATAAATGAGAGATAATATTTGAGAAGTTTGCTATCAAAGCCATCTCATTGCCTTTGCATTGAACATTTTGAAGAGAAACTAAAATCCGTTCGCGTTCACACGTGGTATTTTGTATGGGTATTTTCTCACCACTTTTTGGGTAGCAATAAAATGGATGTGAATTATAATTTTTTGTGAAATTATGAAAGACCTTTCAAACTAAAACTTGGCAAAAATTCAGAAAAGAGAAATTTAGTAAATCAGGGAATCAGCTGTTGTGATAGCGTAGGACTAATTCCATATATTTGTACAAGTACACGAGTCATGGATTTTCCCTATTCATTAATATGTAGTATACTACAAAATATAAATATATAATCATAAATGAAAGCAAGACACTGCATCTCTCACTAGCGTATGTTTCAAGTCGCGTCACTTTTTAAAATTATTTCATAATGTTTCTGTTTCTTCAGATTCCTCTCAAATTAATTATACATCATCTTACTATTACTAATTGAGATTAAGGAGCATATCAGTAATTGGGAGACTTAATCCAGTTTAAATTATATGTTAGAGGATACATGTGAATCTTAATATTTATTCATCTTAAATGATCGTTAATATAATTTCGACACTGTCATCACGACGTATTGACCACGACGTCAGGATTAATATAACGAGCAAAAGTAATGTTTTAAGTTCCTATGAGAAATATTAGTAATGTTTCCAAATTTCAGCATACATTCAGAAAGATGATTGAATAATATGAACAAATAATACTTCTTTTATTTTGAGTATTGCCTCCAGTTTACAAAATTGGGTAAACTTTGAACTTCTTGAAAGGAATGTCATTAGTACAAACAACCCAACTCTCAAGAGAAGTTTTAATTTCAAAGCAAAGTAAAATGTTATACGTGGCCCTCGTCTAAAATCTAGTAAGATGAAGTGGGCGTGTGTCAGAGAAATTTCTTTAACATATCTCTATTTAACGAATTTAGATTATTAAAATATTTGCATAGTGAAACAACGAAACCCACTTTAATAAAATATTACTTAAATTTAATTTCTTGACAATTATTACTGCTGAAACGACAAAGGTAACCGAAACATTCACTTGCACAATACATCTAACAGGGAAATACAAACTATTTTAATTGTGAGAGGTTTTTTATTTGGAGGCTAAATTTTGTGATGACAAGCAATTTTTGTCCAATTATTGAAATGAAATAATGTGATATATCTCGCAAGTTGCAAAACAATATTAAGAAGAATGATGACGCCAAAAATGGAAAGTGATGCAAGGTACTGAGACCGCATTGTTCTTATGTTATTGTATGAACTGGGATATAAATTAAGAAGGTATAAAAATTAATTAAATTCTACATTTGTAAATTAATCAGTCATTTGAATTTAGAGTAGCATATGGTTGAAAGAGTACATTAAATAACAAATCAAACAGATGCTTGTTATAAATGAGAATAAAATAAAAATAAATTTACTATTAAAATTGTAAGCTTCTAACTAGACTGAAGAGCCCAGGGACAATCATGATCCTGATATTGAAAGATTGAATTCGTTATGATTGAATTGAGTGGGAGCTGCTGGAATTTCCATTTGCTGGGATTAACAGACAAACTATAACTTGGATATTAAAATGTTTGTAGTGTACAAGAGAATCTAAACTTACGTGTATTCACTACTCTTACATCAAATTTCAGCATTCAAAACCAAGACGATGGTAAGTTTCCACAGCTAGATATGTGGTAACGTCGATAACCAAGAAGTTTAGAAAGTAAGCCTGCACCACCACCTTTGTAATTTTTATTAATTGTATTAACCTACTTTTAATAATACAACTAGAAATTGTGCAAAACAGCAATTTCCTCATTTAAAACGAGCGAATTCATGTTATAGCACTTTCAAGGTTGCCGAGAAGAAGTAAGTTACAGAATCGTTACGCTAAACGTATAATGAAACATTCCTCTTAGAAAGATTCTTCAAAAGAGAAGTCGCCAGTGAGAGAGCAGCAGTCCTCGTTGCAAAGAACTGAACCGAAAGCCCAAGACTGCACAAGTTTCGCTGCTGCAGCGCCCATGCCGCCCGAAGGCATTTGTTCCAGCCCAATTCGCTCCAGGCTGCGCCGGCAACGGCTACGATGCGACGGGAGGAGTTGGAAAAATGTTCAATATACCGGTATTTTTGAAATAGCAACAGGTCGACTGTCAAATAGCGAGTTTGCATTCAGCCACTGATGGGAGGACAATTCTAGCGGCCGGCAGCTATGACCGACACATTTTCGCTAGGTAAATGCCGGAGTAGTAGACTAAAAACCGGGCTACGGAACTCGCACAACTTTTCGTTCCTCTTTCTTGTCCTTTCGTCTCTCCTTATTCACATAGGCCTACATGCGATACATGTCCTAAAACGAATCAAGAGCTCAGAGCTTGTCCGGGATGGGAAGGTGTCCGCAGGGGAAGATACCAGAAGAATGGATTCCAACCCTAAGGCATCAACGAATTAATTCCCATTAAAAGGGGAGGCAAAAAACAACAGAATGATAATATTACCTCATTATTTACTGAGTATCATATGGTCTATGTAAAAAATAGCCGCACTAAAAATATTTTATATTCAATATCGAATCATAATGACCGTTTTTCCGAATCCCTGAATCCATTCATTGAGGCTGGAGGAGTACTCGTAATTGTGACAAAGATTTAAAAATTTCCTGTGACGGCATCTGAGTATGCATTATTTGCTATTCCTTTCAGTTAACAATTGTCAGAGAAGGATTATATGTTATTTTCTTACATGAACAACGACGACACATTGTCTTGCCTTTTACTCCTGTATGAACGAACTTTTGACCCGCCTAACTTGTGCGCATGAAGGGTTGCCTATTGCTCAGGGGCGTTGAGTTGTGGCGCTCTGTTGCACCTAGCGGGCGGTGAGGGAACTACTAGTTGAATGGACGCAAAGAACAAGGTCTAAGGAAATAATGCAAGCGTATCATAAAGGGAAGACATTCATGCTGAACATTGTAAAAATAATGAAGACGATACACACAAGAAATAATTGGATGGCATGAAGCCTTCAGAGCGTTGGCTAAGAACCTATAGTTTCGGAAGTTGCTTGTTTCGGAAGTATGGGTCAGAAGTAGGGAAGGTGTATAGAGTCCTCCTCATGTTTCTACTTTTTTCCAGCCTTTATTTCGAGGTTCCTTGCACATTAATATTACATGTTTTATTTTACCTTTTTAAACTTGATTCTGATTTTATGCACCACATATTTGATTTATATACAGATTCTATTGCTTTAGGATGTACGGTAGTAGAACCTGTTGATACCACTCTGGGAAGTGGCAGAGCAATTTTTTTAGACGAAGGTGACTTTCAATGCTCACGTTTGACGCACAATATTGTGAAAACAATATTGTGATCGTCTTTTGAGAGCCCTTAAAGATTTATAATAAATATCTTTCACTCTAATTCATTTCAAGTCAATAACGCCTTATTTTATGTGGCGAGCCTCAGGCCTGTTCTTCCGTTCGGCCTGTTCTTCCGTTCGGCCTGTTCTTCCGTTCGGCCTGTTCTTCCGTTCGGCCTGTTCTTCCGTCTGACAGCGCTCCTTTCTCTAGGGACTCTAGACTGTAGAAGTAATATTTCCTTTTCACAAACATTTTTGATCCCGCACTATGACCTACAGAATTGGCGTTTAAAGTGAAGGTAAAGCATACGTTGTGTACCAGTTTTAACTGAATATTGATGGGTCTATCTTCAACCGGTGAACGATAATGCGATTTATATTCGACATAATTTGTCTTTTTGTTTTTGAGCGCTCGTTCTCTTTCCTCATCTTAAGATTCGTTCTATTGACCTGGACCGCCTACGCAGATTGATTTCCGAGGGTATTTAAATACTCCATGCGCTGACATGCCAGGACGCAAATTAACTTCGTGAGTTCGAAATTATTTGTGGCGGGGTGTTGGAGGTACGAAAGCACGACTTCCGCCGGAGAGGAACTAGAGACACCGGGCGCATGTCGAGGATTCATAGTGTCGGTAAATTTATGGCTACTGTTGTCAATTTTACTGCGTTTAGAGGAAAAACTGGAGTAGAGAATCGAGCCTCGCAGCTTAAAAACAACAAAACCCTGTTCTCTTCGATACATCGCGAACATTGCTTGACGTGTTTTTAGTTCTGTCACTGCTGCATTGTTCCGTATCTGACACACTAACTTTCTAGATAAACCACTCTCTGTGCAGTCGGCAGACTCGTTCTGTTTCTACTGCTACTCCACTCCCCGCCCACTAGGTTTACCCACGGCCTCCCTCCCGTTGCCAACGCACTACCGTCAACACGACCACTGATCCGGGGTTGATTAAATCCTACCGGAATAGCATCTCCATTGCGAGTGACGCCAGAAGTTATGCAGTGGGGGTGGCGGCGCTGCCGGTAGGCGCTGAGGTGGTAGTAGTCGGAGCGGCAACGGGAGCCGCGAGGGTTGTGGGAGCCCAAAGGGATAGAGGGTGGCTGAGAGGGCGGTGACAGAGGGGCAGAGGGTGGTAAGAGCAAGGTTCGAGATAGCGGAGTCCGTGGGAGAGGTGGGGGCGGCGAGAGCGATGAGGAATGCTGAGCTCAGGGGAAGTGAGAGCGACGAGGTTCTCGCCTTGAAGCCACTCAAGAAAGAGAATATTTTAAAGTTTTATTTTTCAATTTTCGTTGCTGAGTCAGGGCGCAGTCTTTGTTTCCGCACGAATTGGCGAAGGTCGAGGAAAGATGAACGATCTGAAGTTATTGTAAATAGCAAAAGATGGATTTCCTGTTACTAGAGAATAACCTCTTGAAACAACGATGTAAAGGAATATACGCACAGCTTTACAAGAGATAAGCAAGAGAAAAAAAATCACGAAATAATTCTTCACCACAGTAAGAATTAGATGTTAAGAATAAACAAATAGTGTTGATAAATATCATGAAATGTCTAACCGATTAGAGTTTTCGGGAGCGTCAACTGCTATGGTCATTAGTCCAGTAAGTGTAGTGCATGTTTTTTTATCGAAGTGGAATGATCTTCCTCTCCTGGATGGCGCAATCCGTCGCCGATCTACGTCTTCTCTACCCAGCGACTGAATTAGACCTAGCTATGTAACTGGTGTCAAAACTTCTACCACCGTCGGGACTCAAACTTAGATCCTCCCGATCAGAGGCGCTGCAGTGACAGGAGTGAGCCCTGAGCCCGGAGCTGTTGTCGAGATTGACCAATATCGACACTATCGGGGCGCGCCCTCTGCGTCGTTAGACGAAAAGGCAATGATGGTTATCGAATGCTGGAACTGGTTTCACGACATCGTTTATGTCTTACTTGTTTTTATTAAATATCTTAAACGCATTATATATGTCCGTTTAAATTATTGCTATTAACACACCTAGAAATGCTATGAGTGTTATTAGTGCGAGGCCAAAAGTTAAAAAGGCGTAGCATAGCGGAGCTGAGATTTTCAATTTCGGCGAGGAAAGATTTTTAATTTAGGAAAACTAACATTTCTATGTATGTTCGGTATTTTATTGGTCGGCATTAAGTCTCACGATTTGCGCTATAATTTACAGTACTGCGATAGTTACCAAATTAATTCTGTTGCTGCGGCACGTTACTACGATATTGTCGGTTGTTGCTTGCGATGTATCTATTTAAATAATATTCGTATACAGTGGTTTGAGAAAAGATAGATGCAAATACTTCTCCTGAACCTGAAGATACCTAAAGCTAAATGACGTTCGGTGAGGAAGTTGGCGCGACGACTTCCATTGGAGACATCTTCAGTGTCGTCAATAAATATTATAATGAGAACATATGATCGCCAGTAAATGTGATTAACGGAGAAGAGTTTCATTTGGTGGAAAATCCGGAAAATTAAGTTAATTTACGTAATATATTTTTCTAATTGTACTATTAATAATATTAAAATTAACAATCATTATCTGCAAATCTATAGGAGTTACTTTTATTCTGAATTGTTTGCATCTGACGTTTTCAATATAGCCATTTTTTTCTGAACAAACATTTCAGTTGCGATGGCTCAATGGTTGCTGATTTATGTTGCTTATGTTAAAACCCGTTGTTTGGTTAAATTTTAAGGATGTTAAATTTCTTAACATAGAGCTAGGTACAAATGCACTTAACATACCTGTACGGTTACATGTTAAGAGGGGTTAAAAATGCATGTGACCGATAAAGGTGGTAGCCAAATTAGTATGGCATGGTACACGACAAAAACCCAATTAAAATTCATTCGCACAAAACACGCTGCAAACCTCTGCATAGATGAGCAATTGAATTTAAGTAATGACATTAAGAATTGCATGCATTCTAAACTACGTTTTTTATTCCTAATTTTAATATTAATTGATATTATTAAATTGTTTTAATTTTTATATTATTTTTATTTGTTTTATTATTATTATTATTATTATTTAATAGTAAATGAGTTTCTCCTTTGATAGAGAGCCCACGGTTATTCTCACGATCGAAAAACATCGAAGCTACCCGAAAACGGCCCTCAGAACACGCTCCACCGATTCTGCCAGAATCAGCCCTGAATGAGCGGCGCCGATTGTTCCGGCCCTTGACAGGGGCCGACGCGTAGATCTGAGAGGCAGCTGAGGAGCGCGCACGCACTCCGATACTGCGAAATCAAGTCTGCGAAAACGATCGATAAAGAGAATGCGTTTTGTACGGCTCTAATGGTTGTTCAATGCATCTTAATGATTGCAAGTAGCCGGGCGAACAAGATCACATTATTTACTGATCATTAGCATATCACAATACTGGCAAACGGAAATTAACGGAGTGGCAAATTTTGTGTTGCATTCAACTTACTACAATCACACTCCGAAGGCAAACGCTGTGGAGGGTAAAACTCTGTAAGGAGCAAGGAGATGAAGAAGCAGATGTTATTAAAAGAAAGTATTTCTTTTGTTCTACAAGTAATACAATTAATTTTTAACAAAGTGTATTCTGATATATTTGTATTACAGAACAATAATACTAATACTAATACTAATACTAATAATAATAGCAATAATAATAATAATAATAATAATAATAATAATAATAATAATAATAATAATAATAATAATGATAACGACATGGACGATTGGCAATACATTGTCGAATCATACGAATACGAAAATGTCTCATTTTATATTGTAATGCTAATTAAATTAGTACATTTTTACTGATATTTTACATATTCTAAAAAATTCTGTTGGACGTGGGGTAACTATATTTCGTACACCAATTTGAAACGTCAAACACATTTTCTGGAATAAGTCTTGTTGACTTCCTCCACTGTTGCACCGAATAAGCGAAATTACCACGAATACAACTAAAACGCCATTTACCATCGAGAACCAGCCCCTCCCAACTCAAACCAGCCCAGCCCAGCCCAGCCGCAGCAGCCCAGCCCGCCCCACCCAACATCGGGGCCCAGGCCCGCAATTCAGCCGCGACTCTTTGTGTGACGTCGCTCAGGCCCCCTTTCCATGTTGCTCCTCCTCTCCCCGCCTCCGCCCCCCCAACCCCACTCTCACCCACTCCACCGCAACGCGACTCGCCGGCTGTGCGGTGTCAACATGCGCAGGGCACACAGAAACAAGTGATAAATCCGAGTGGGGCGGTGGGCGCGGCGCGTTTCAAACACAGAACACGCGCGCGCTGAGCGACGCGGCGCGACAGGCACTCGAGAGCAATCAGCGCAATGTTAACTTGTCGCTGATAAGAGCATTTTAATGGGATTGATCGATAATGTGTGCTGTATCCTCTTCACGCCTATATCCTTGCTTTTTCTCTCTCCTTGCCCTACAGCTGAACAGAGGTATACTAACTGCGCGAGCTGCCGGGTTAAACAACTATGTTTTCTTGACCTCCGTAGGATCTGAACTTGGTTGATGCTCACGAGCTGCCATGTGTTTCTCCAGAATGTATTTCTCCATTATGTTTCTCCAGAAACATAAACAATAACAACAACAACATGATTTTACATAAAAAAACTCAACGTGCATCTTAGTGCTCTCTTTAATCTGTTTTCTTCAATCTAGAAATATCATACTCTAAATGCTTTGTTTTCATTCAAACACAATTTAAATCAAACCAGGTGATGAAAGAATGATGATGAAAGGTATGATGGTAGAAATGAAGGTAGAAAAATATGATGAAAGGTAATTTATATACTTTCACAAAATTCAATCACTTTCTCATATATAATTACTTTAATTACTTCACATTGACTTCCTCTACACCATATAATTCTCTTGCACGGCATAGATTACAGAAGAGAATTCAGAATAAAATATTCAAATATTGGTATTAATCACAGGTTGAAATAACGGTATCTTCTTGGTTACAACTCCCTAAAATGAAGAATATTCTTACCCGGTCATCTAGAAAAAGAAGCTATGTAAAATTTAATTTATAAATGGTTGTTGTGGGCATGGTAATATCACGTTTCAATCAATCTAGTTCAATCAACTAGTTTATGTCAGAGTAAACTATATTGCATATCTCCCTCGGTATTCTTAATTACACCTAAACGAAGATTTTTAGGAAAACTAATGATGACAACAGATCGATTTCATTCAAACTTCTTTCGTGGAGCATTACATACTGAGTAGAATGCATATATATGAGTATTATCTTCACTTCATCAATTAGTAAAGTGTAGCTCCCTCATGCTCAGCATGCTCTTGCAAAGCTGTAAACATTTAGTTTGAAACTAGTTTATGTCTGTGACAAGAACACACCTACTGCAGTGAAGGGGCAAATTGAATTAGTGCATCTGACCACAGAAGCTGGCGACAGTTGACAAAATTCTTGATTGCGGAACACAATTATCTGCAGATGACATAGACAACATTGCTATGAATTCACGGTAATACGCTATTCACGCTAGAACAAAATCAAGTGCTAAACAAAGACACTATTCAGGTGCCTCCTATCGATTTCATGTGTTTGCAATGTTTGAAGTAACAGGTATTTTTATTAAAGGATTTTATATTCTTTAAAAAGTAAAATTTTTCCATACCCTTTGAGAGGGAAAATAAATATTTAGATGTTTTTATGCAATCAAAAAGTAATTCACATGAGGAGTGCAATTGAAAATATTTGATATCGGATGAACACAATATTGACAGTATCATTAATTCATTTAGAAGGTCAACGTAGGGCCATAAATATCATGGTTTTAAAATTACATTAAAAATCAAGGTTGTTTAAAAAGTAACAATTGCATATTACAACAAAGTATATATCAAACTAGTTTTATTTTTAAATTAAATTTCCTCAAACGAGAACACACTTAAAAATGTTTTATGTTCATATAAAAAGTTTCGTTTTAAGAATTATCGGATGCAACAGAACGCGAACATTGTTACGTGTGGCAGAGACGTATATACCCCGCGATTTCTCAACCTTTAAACCAAATGACGAGAGCGGCTCAGGAGGTGGATGAGTGGCTGCGCTTGGGCGGCGGGCAGCGGGTGGCGGGCGCACAGTCCTCTATGGTCTGCTGCTGCTGCTGCCGCTGCCGCCGCGGCGGCGCGGGGCGAGTGACGGTTGGCGCCGAATTAACTGGCCTCCCTTTGTGCGCTCGTTTGCTGAACGACGCTGGGGGTCGATAAGCACGTTCCCACACCCTCCCCAGCCCCTGAGGCCCAGGCCGTAAAACGCACTGTCCGTCATCATCCCAAGAGTAGTCGTCCCCATCTCCCTCTGCATCCTATCCACTCCGTCAGCGTAGCGCTCCCATTTCGTCACCGTAGCGCTCCCATTTCGTTACCGTAGCGCTTCCATTTCGTCACCGTTTGTACTTGCGTTCTGTTATCGTTGCGCTACCGTTCCATCACCGTTGCGCTTCCATTTCGTTATCATTGTCTTCCCGTTCCGTATTCGTTGCGGTCCTATTTAGGCACCGTTGTGCACCCTTTCCTTCACTATTGGACTCCCGTTGCCTTCCATCACTGTTGCACTCGTGTTCTACCCTTCCTCCGCCACAAATTTGTCTCTGCTCCCGTAACGCCTCACTATTAAAAGTTAATTGATGTGTCACCAAGGTACATAGTACGGCAGAGAAGATTACGGGACACGCGGCAGCACACCCCAGATCTCGCAAATCCTCTCCTCATTGAGATTACAACCTCTCATTTCACGTGACAGGTTAAAGCTCCCTGAGCAGTTCTCATCTGCAACAGGGGCCATGTTCATTTAGAGCGGGAATTCATCTCTTGAGCGTGAATCAGTTGCCGGTGTTGCGATTAGAAGGCATTCATACTATGCCTGCGGAATGGTGATGGGGGGAAGGGTGCAGGGTGGAGAGTGCATGGTGGAGTAGACTGAGCTAGCGGGTGGAGGCGGAGTACACTGAGAAGGACGGGAGGGCATAGCGGGACAGAATTGTTGAAACATAACGATTGATTGATTAGAGATTCCAATCGCATTAACAGATAAATGTCATCAGTTATGTAAGTGTAGTGCATGTTTTTTCCTTGGGAGGTGGCAGTGATCTTCTCCCGCTGGATGGTGAGATCCGGTGCCGACATACCTATCGACTAGCAGGATTTTCCACAACCAGTTACTTCCCAGCAGCGCGGCAACCCCCCCCCCCCCGGCCGGGTCAAACTCTGATCTCTCTACCGGACTCCCGGCCTGTTTGTTAGTGTAGTGCATGTAAGTGTAAGTGTAAGTGTGAGTTAGTAACGGATAAGGATAAGATAAGGAAGGGGAAGTACAGATCGCACGCGGTCCATCACTCGTTTGTAACGGATGTCGTATGATCGGAAATAAAAAAAATAACGCAAAACTAACGATCGGAGCAAGGGACGGCTAGAATTCTCTCCGCGCAGCCGTTGAATTCGACCTAGCTATGGAGCTAGTGTCGAAAATTCTGCCAGTGTCGAGACTCGAACATAGTATCTCCGGGTCAGAGGAGCAGTGACATAAATTGATGTTCTGGGCCATATCTTCCGGCGGGACATAACGATTGTGTTTCGGGAAGGAAAGTGGGCAGGGAAAGGGTAGAAAGGAAATGGTGCAGGACGGTAGCAGAGCGGCATCTAGAGAGTGAGATAAGCGTGGCTGAAATATGATCAGTAAGGCGACAACCATACGGGCTTGGATATCTACTTATCACACGTTCTTGAAGCAACAGGCAGAGACGTCAGAACCTGAGCGCATGCGTCAGCAATTCGCGCTTCAACCCAGTGGAGGCTTTCGAGACACGCGCGGGCTTGAACAATGCTGCCAACAGCAGAAGTAAATGCAATTGCAGCAGTCGTTTGCTTTCCTGATTCCTACAACTGGGAAAACAGTACTCGGAATTATATTCATTCGTGTTTGCTTGTTTTACGTAAGTTATGTCGTCTACGAGAATTCAAAAGTTTTTTCCTTGCTTTCCGAGATAAATAAGTCCATACTGAGCCTTTTTGGACCTTCGCAACATACGACAATGTGAATTCAAATATTTTAATAAAAAATGTTGTATGCAATTAAATCTTAATTTTATTACGTATATTTTATTTAACATTTACATTAACTTAGTTGCAATAGCACAATATACGAGTGAATAAAGATAACCAATAAGCTACATTTTCAGTTTCTCATTGCACTTCTTAATTTCTACTCTACATCTCTTAATAATGTCATGGACAAATTTACGTCATTTGAACACCCATTCACCAAAAAAAATCAAGGAATAGTATAATACAAGATTCAGTTTTGAGAAAGAATAATGTAATTTTCATGTTTCCGTTTATATTTGCCATTTTCGTAATTATAGAATTCCAGTCTTTCATTTAAATTAGTTGCCCTAAATAAAGATGTAAGCAAAAAGAGATTTAGCGACACAGTCGATGTCTACAGAAAGGAATTCTTTGATTATTCAGAGGCTTACACGAACCACGAACAACTCCCTTGCGACAGAATGAATTTCGTGCAGAATTCCAATAAAAATAGTGAATGTAGTCAGATAAGCGAAAACCGTCAAATTGATTCTGACGCACTTTTATGTACAATAATACGGGTTTATATGTACAATAATACTATTACGAGCGTTCACTGCAAGCGAAAGAATACATTATTTATTCGATTTTCGGCAGACCGTAAATTTTCTGATGGAGTTAGTGAAACAGCGAACAAATCTATCTTATTCTAGTTTTACGAATAAATTCAAATTTTGATTACCATCATCCATAGAAGAATAAAAGATATTTAAATGAACTGCGACTTTTGTTGAAAATAGTAGCTTGACGGAAAGTAGTAAATTAAAAGCAACCCTACTCAAATGGTAAAAATGCGTTTGTGGAGAATTCCATTTTTATTTTATGTAGTTACATTTAAAAATAGTCTCACAAAATACATTGAGTTACCTTGAAATTAAAGAGTTCGTTAGATTGATTGTTAGATAATAATGACATCATTTAAAGCGGTGT